TGTCCTATCAAATAAAGGCAAAAAGCCCCCAAAACAACAACACTGTGCTGGAGATGCCAAAGATAAGCCACAGCAACTACCGCTTGTTTGTGGCATCTGCTAGTCACATTCTGAATTTTATAGTCAATGTTTTATATTAGAATACATTTAGTTTCTTTATCAATGTTTTTAAGCAAGGCATTCATGCAGTTATAATGTAGCCTAAAAACTCAGTAAATAAATATAATTTAATGTTCTTTTAATGTCCCTATACTTTCACTGTCATTCATTTCACTTTTTGTTTTATGAACTTTTTTATTTTCTCCTTCTCTCTCTTTTCTTTGAATTCTGCAGTGGTTCTAAAAAACAAAATAAGTTGGAATAGAGGATAACAAGTCCTGGTAACTGGATGTCTCATTTATTAAAAAAAATAAATTGTTACTTAAATTGTTTAAGTTGTTTGAGGTGCTGACACAATGTTAAACAATAGAAATAATAATTATATCTAACACAATATCTATAAAATAGAAATGTATATAGGTCTATACATATTATAGATATACATATATAAGTTAAAACATGTAAATATATATATAGTAAGAGCCTATGTACGTTATAGTAATAATAAAATATATACAATATATGCTAATATAAACATATTAATGTATGTTATTTTCTGTGCTGATTTTGGTGAGACTGTTTAATTTAAATAAATAATTTATATTTGTAAGTATTTATTTTTAAACGCAGCCCCTGATACACTAGGGATTCACAGGTTGAATAAATATTATTCATTTATTTCTGTTAAAGAAGAACAAAACAAATGTAGGGGTGAGGCTACGGCTGCCTCTCTGACTCACAGCTGGAAAGGAAGGACACGCTGTATTTATTTACTACTGTTTACATGGTTTTTTCCCAGTTGCAGCATAATCTGTGACTCGGGGACCACTCTCACCTACACTACGTTACCAGCCTTTACTGGAGCTACTAGTACACGCCCACTACATCACGTGACCCTCGTCTTGCATGCTATAGTGGTCCGTAGAGAGAACAACAACCCCGGATAGAAGCGGAGGAGGAGAGAGGAGAGAGGAG